ATTATATATATATATATATATATATATATATTGAATTTCTAATCCATATATCAACAATGTAAAATATTGATTGATACTTGATCCTAGCTAAATAAGTGGTATGGTTAATAAATAGGCTAATTAAGACTTAATAGAGTCTATGGAGCCTACGGCCTAAGAGGAGGCAAGAAGTCTACCTTTTCCGTCCATTAATAGTTTTAAATATGCCTAGAAATCAAAATTAAAATCAAAGTCCTACTCTAATGGAGAAGTAATTACAAACAAATCGTGGGAAAAAAGTAGACGCGACCACTTGATCTAATTTAATAAAAATTGCCATGGGCCAAAGTTTTTTAAAGTGTACATTCTCTATCTTTTTAGCGTAACCCAAAGTATTGACTAATAAATGGAAAATGAAGGTGCTAAGCAAGTCTCACTTGTTATCTTTAAATAATTTAATTCCTTCATCGTATGTTTTTATTTTACATTTTATTATAATAATATAATAACATATCTAATGTAATAAACACAATAAAAACAAATAAACAGAGGTTTTTTCGATTGACACTCAACTTAGATAAAGTCTAACTAATCATGTTAAAAAAGGGACCGACACTCGAATAAAGTCTAAGTAACTGTTTTAAAAAACGGATATAGTACCTATGGGTACATAAAAAATGTATTGAATCGATTCTTTTTAATGAATAGATCCTATCGTAACGTGTGTATATATATAGATATATATAAAAGTGACTACACAATAATAAAATTTTTTAGTGTATAATTTAATGTAAATATTGTTTAGTACCATCAACAAAATATATATGACATCATCTAAGGCAGAGCCATGATTAGTAGCTTGGGATTCTTAATCAATTTATTTGGAGTTTTACAAGTTAATGTACATAATTCTTTTAAATTTTTTAATGCGGATTTATGAAAAAACTAATGAGTTCGTTCGAACCTATGGAGAATTGTATTGGATTATTTTTTTATATATCCCAATCAAATATAATAATATGGTATCTTATATGCCATAATTTCATGATTCTCCGTATCCTCAAACCAAATCACTTATTAGTAATAGGGCATTATGCGTCTCACGTTCAACTCTTCGCTACTCATATGATTTCCTTATAAATATGTCAGTTCAATAAACAAAATTATTCGAACATAAAAGAAGTAAAACTCGTAAGACAGTAATGGCTTGTTCGGACCAAAATAGCGTCAAGAAAAGTAAAAGTCATGCCAATTCCACATCCATATTCAGTCAGGCACGCCGCAAAATGTCATTCCGATGGAAGAAGTTATCGGTAGTCCAGCAGGAAGCCGGAGGGAAGAAGAAATTCTTGATTTCCCGACGAGATGGATTGAAGGGGAAGAATTTGCACTACTTGAGTATGAAGAAAATAAAAGAATGTTACTGGTTGGCGGTAAATGAGATATTGGAAGCAAGTGATACATTCGATCAACGTCTTGTATCAAATACCTCTTTTGCTCTTCCCATGATGGGACTTCCCTTTGCTACTTTTCCAAATCGTCTTGGTATTTAAATGCTTAGCTGAAAATATTATTTATTTTATTTCTTCCTTACGTACTATTCTCTTCCGACTTTATTTGCGGGATTACAATATTGTTTATTTGTTATTTCTGGTTTTCGCTGAAATCAATTGACATGTTTAACTTTGATTTGCTTTAATTTATATATAAATTCATATTGTAGAGCCAGTTCAATTGTTTGCAATCTTCATGCACAAACGTACTTGAACTACTTTTTTTCTTTTATATATTGAAAATATATCCACCCCAATAACCTGTACGAACATCAAGGATGGTCAAACTGCCACCTTGGTCTCTCTTGATGCAGAGATAGTTAAATCGTACTAACTAAAGTTTAATTAAATATAAAAAGATTTAATTAAATATAAAAAGATTATGGTATAATTATAAAATTCGATGAAATGTCACGATTACAATCACCAATTTGAAATGATCCTCGCAATTTATCAAGACTTGATGTGATGGTAGTGACTGAACTGCTCTTTTTTTAATCAGAGGTCTAACAAAGTTCTGGGTATGAAAGTTTTGGTAGGAAGCATTTCCTTTGGAATGAGGCAGTACACCATGTAAATACCAAAAAAAAAGAAAAAAGAAAGATAAGCACGCCCAATTGAATATGAATTATTAAGTATAAAATGTGTTAAAGCATTAAATTGCACAAGGGAACAAGTAGACACCACAAGAATTAACCATCAATCTTGAGAAAATGTGCGATCACAATTTAATAAATCTAGAAGACCAACATATGGTAACATGTTAAGAGGAAAAACTGATAACAGGGCAGAAATTTTCACCGATTACTTTTATTTTTTGGGACAATAATTAAATCTTACTATTTGAAGTATTCAACTATAACAATCAAATGGGCAGGCAATTACAGTCAGATAGGAGGCAAGAATATAATATCAGAAAAGCTAATGTCATTCTTTATATTTTTCTTGTAATTTATGATTTTTTTCTAAAAAATATTAATGGTATATGAATAACAAAATAAAAATCTTATGAGAAATCATTCGATCATAATCTAAGAATTTATAGTTATTATAAATGTTAGACGACAATGTAGACATTAAAATTTTGTGAGACTCTACAAGATGTGTTCAATTCGAGTTGGGACTCTACAAATTGTGTTCAACTCAAACTAGGATTTTTGGAGGCTACTCAACCCTAAACCCTAGTTTATGCCTATATAAAGGATACTAAATTCCCTTAAAAGCATTTTGGAAATTCCATAAAGAGATCAAGATCTCAAATACTCTACAAATTGATGGATTATTCACATAGAGAGGTCAAATCTAAATCATCCTAGTTCGAGAAATACGCCACTAACAGCTCTCGAATCATGAATAAATCCTAAGAGAATAGAATCAAGGGATTAACAGAATTGTACCCGCTATCTTAATCAATAAAATTACGTTTCTTCATATTTTAGTTGTATGGTTTGTTTATCTTCCATATGTTTAAAATTTGTTGTAAACAGACAGTTATTTACTTACTTTGTAAGGTTATGAAAAATATATGAACAAATATAAGATACCTACATTTGAAAGTTTTTTTATTTTTACAATTTCATAAAAAATTAATTACCATCACTAAACAAATATGATCAACTTAAAGTTTAGTAACTAAAATATTTAATGACTAGACCATGTACTAAAATCACAAAACAAATATGATCAACTTTGAAATTTAATTACTAGACCAAGTACTTTCATCCCATTAATTAATTAGATTCTCTCGGTATTAGCCTTTTCAAGTAGAATGTGTTAGATAGGGACGGTAGATAACACTATCAGGAAAAATCGCATTAATTAATTAGATTCTCTTGATACTATTTCTGTAGAAATAGAAATTAGGTCGATTGCATAGATTCTTAATTTAGATATCGTAGAAATAGAAATTAGGCCGATCGCATAGATCTTTAATTTAAATAAAATCATGATAAATAATCTTTATATTATATAATCTAATGTAAATATTATTTCATATCAATAATAAAATATAATATTATCTAGTGTTAGGATTATCTCAATCAAATAATATCGTATCCACTTGTTAGTTGAGCAGAAGTAATTGGGATAATGGAGCTCATGTATTCAACTCTCTATATCATGACCATCGACCTCCTTAATCCTTCCTTATATATACCTTATTTCAGCAAACGGAATTATTCGAACAAAAAAAAGTAGTGATATTTATAACACAATAAATAATGGCTAATTCGAACCAAAATAGCGTTAACAAAAGTAAGAGTCATG